CTGTTTATGGCATGATAAGACGCCAATTATCACTCAAGAGCTTAGGTGTGTCGCATATGCATGCATACTCGTAGGCTTGTAGCAAGTGGTATAGAGAGAAAATCAACTGAGTTTTGCTTACCTAGCTAGGGCTTTTTATTCTCCTTTTTCCCATTGTATTTCTATATAGTGGAATTATCGTCGATTTAACTTTATTAATTAACCCAGCCATTTTCATTTCCTCTCTGTCATTCCAGTTGGTCGCACATATAGTGTGTGTAAATATATATGAGGTTAGAATCTGAGGACACCTATTTTTTGACACACATTTTGTAGGGCTCAGTCTATAACTTTTTTATAAAGATCTGAACCGTCTTTATTCCAATTTATCATTCATAGATCACTTTTGCAAAAAAAAATAGATAAATCCAAAACCATTAAGTTGTAGAGAAAAAAAAAATAGATGAATACGGTTTTGCAAAGAAATAGTAAAATGACTATCATTTAATTCAACGATTATATGGTTTTGGATTTGGGTAATTTTTTCTAGACATAATCTTGAGGAAAGACCTAAAAGATAGACAGTTGGATCGTTGAAATACATTATGAAGTCGACCATACAAAGTGTGTGTCAAAATGTGTGTCAAACATGGGTGTCTTCCTAATTTAACCCCTATATATATTTCACGTTGAACTGACTTCCAGTTTAATTAAATTTTAAGCGGAATTAGGTTCCCATCCCTCATTTTTGTATTTCATTGATTGAAACCTTATTTCTTTTCAATTTGGCATTTTAGCTCATTGAGATTGACATAACTCTCATTTTGGTGTCTGAGATTTGAAATCAATGGAAGTAGTCCTTGAGTTTGTCCACCATCAATCATTTTGGTCCTTCTGTGAAGAATCTCTTTAAATAAGAATCAAAATGACATAAATACCCTTAATTTAATAAACTACGGGCCAAAATGATTTGACAATAATCAAGAGTATTTTTGTTATTTTCTCCTTATTTAACGGATATTTTTTACGGAAGTACCAAAATGATTGATGGTGGATAAACTCAGGGACCGTATGTATCTTATGTATTCATTTTTTTTATTAATTTTTTTTTTTTAATATGTCTAATTTTGAAACAACTAAGTTATTGATAGCCTCTTTATCATGGAGCCAAGTACCAGAAACCTTCAGCCCGTAATTTTTCTCTTCTATCGATTTCAAGTCTTAGGGACTAAAGTGAAGAGCTATGCCAATCTCAAGGACTATTTTGGCTAAAAACCCTTTCAATTTTTTATCAAGGTCTTTTGGTTTTTATCGGCTTAATTATTTTGATACTAAAACATGTACATGTCACCATATTTAATACATGAATCTTTTGCACAACAAATGGTATTAGGCATCAAACATTTCTAAATATTGGAATGAGAAGTATTACTAGACTATAAGAACTAAATGGTTGTCTAAGCAGTAAAGTTTCACTTCTGGTTTGACTAGGCAGCAAAATAAGAAGTCAAGATTTGAAATACAAAAAAATTAGGCCTAGAAATTTGGCTAAGGAATTTTTATTAGCACTTCACATATTGATAAATACACTTTGCATTAAAATTCATTATTTAATGACTTATAAACCCTAGAGAAAATTGTAACGATGGTCCCTCAACTTGAACCCAATTAGAGCAATGATCCCTCAACAAAAAATCCATGACTATTGGTCCCTTAACTCATCAAAACATGTAACTATGATCCTTTTTGTCAACTCCATTAGAATTCCATCAAAGTGGCTCATGTTAGAAGGACCATTGCTATAATTGGGTTAAAGTTGAGGGACCATTGCTACAATTGGGTTAAAGTTGAGGGACCATTTCTCCAATTGGGTTAAAGTTGAAGGAATGGACCATTGCTACAATTTTTTTCATTTAGTTTTTCATATTTGCCCCTTGATTGAGCCTCATGTGCGTGGCATGTAACTTATTTTGACGGAAATTCTATCGAAGTTGACAAAAAGAACCATAGCTACACATTTTGATGAGTTAATTAGGGACCACTAGTTATGGATTTTTAGTTGAGGAACCATTGCTACAATTTCCTCTAAACCCTAATATGCAGTTGCAATTTCAACCTCATAAGTTCTTTAAAAAAAAAATCCAAATACACCCTAAATCACTTTTAATGTGTAAATCCCAAGATTATATTTCTTCAACTCTCAAAGCCACTGTCACCCTCCATTGTAAACAAAACCCTAACTAATGAAACTACAAAAATGTTGATTGAAAAAAAAAATTCACGAATGAAGCATGAAATCGATGAGGTAAGACTTCATACTTTTTCATTGTTTAGTCAATTTCAACAACACCATTATGCAATCGATTGATATCTTGATAAATATTTTCGATTTATTTGCTTATTATATATATTTCAACGACTTCGGCGTGCCGATAGTTGCGTTATGAATGATATCCTTTGAAAAAAGTATGATTGATGATGCGTAACCATATCTAATTGGTTTCCCATGAAAAAAGTATGGTTGTGAAGAATGTGGGTGTATGTAGGAAATATGGGGTGTATGTTGAGAGCGTGGTGTGTGATTGTATTATGAGAAACTATGTAGGTGTATTGTTAAGATAAATTTTATGGAAAGGCAAATCTGGGGTGTATTAAGTATATGTGGTGTATTTAACAATATGTGCAGTGTTAATAAAACAATCCTTTGGTTAATCATGATTTCTATTTTATTTTGGGCGTTGTTGTTGATACACTTCTTTTTACCTGACATGCCCCCCTCAATTTCCAATCGTCAAATCAAAAGAGTTAAAGAAGATCATGGATAGAAATTAACAAAAAATGTGTGGGAGTTAAAAGCAGTGTGTGTATAGCATCACCCTTTATTTTTTTAATACAAAGATTGCTGTTAGATTTTGGTCCAATATTTTTTATAACCAATTTTGGTTGAACCTTTAAGTGTGCTTGAAAATTTATAAATAATAGATAAATAGCTCTATATATGCTCGTCTCTTTAACCAAGCATTCAGGGCAAAAAATTTGACCCAAAAAAAAAAAAAAAAAAAAAAAAACATTCGGAGCAAAAAGTAACTCCCAAATTGGAATTGTGCGTAATTTTTTTCCATATCCTCTTCATTTTAGTTAAAAAATAAAAAGTCTCGTAGGAGATGCTTTAATATTTTATATACATTATTTGACAAGTACCTCAATAGTTTGGAGTTCGTGGAGAGAAAAAGGAAAGTAGAAATATTCCACGAGTACTTGGAGTAGGAAATATGATTAAAGTAGTAGAAGAACCTTCAAAAGAACTCAGAAATTAATCGAATTAAAAAAAGAAAGAACTGAAGTACCTTTGGAGATTGGAATTTTGAATACTCTCTTTTTTTGGTTTTTCCGATGGTTATTCAACATTAGGAGGCGGCCTAGCTAACAAAATTTGTGGAAAGTAGCAAAGTAGCATCGACCAAGAAAAAGGTACATGCAAAGTAGCAAACACCTCCTTTAATTTCCTTGTTCCTTTTTAAATTTCTAGGGCCTAGTTTGGTACAGAGGTGATTCTAAAAAAAGCTAGTATCAAAAAAAGCTTGGAGCTTTTTTGTGTTTAGTAAACATTCAGCTTTAGATTTTTTTTTCATAGTTTTGGGTGAAAAAAAGCCAAAAACAAGAAGCTGCAAAACTCAGCTTTGAAAAACCAGTTTTTTTTCACATTTGTTTTACATAAAAGTTTACCAAACACTATAATATTGTTTTTTTTTTTCAAAAGTATTTTTACAAAAAAGTTTACCAAACACTTTACAGCTTTATTTCACAGCCGCTTATTCTCACAGCACAACAAAAACAGATTTTTTTTCAAAACACAGCAATACCAAACCAGCCCTAGGTAACATACATGTCTTCTTTCCATGTAAGTCTTAGCTCACCTTTGGCAGGCATATATATTGCAATGCGATAAATAGCAACGTGACACCCTCCAAAAATTCAATAAGTTCTTTAATTAATTTATTCGGGGATTAGATCCTTTTTTGTTCGTTAACAAGATAAGCACTCAATTATCCTAATCAGCAAACTTAACCCTCAACTTAGGTCACTTAGTACTACGATTTAGTAGTGATATTATTTTTACGCACTGGTAAGTAAGAGGTCTTAGGTTTAGTTCTCACCAAAGACGAATTTGAATCACATTATTGTTAGCCTATTATGAGACTTAGCCCATTATTCCACCCTTTTGGTGTAAATAATATTGATTTGTGAAAGAAAAAAAACCCCTCGCTTAGACCATCTCCAACCCTTGGGCTAAAAGCCAAATTTTTTAGTCCGGAGAATTTAGCTTTTAGCCCAGAAACATCTTTTCTGCTCCAACCCTTCTACCCTAAAATTTTAGCCCAGAATTATTAAAGAATGAAATTAGCCTAAATTTTTTTCTTAAATCAAATTTTAAAAAATAAATAAATATGTAGATTATTGTAAATTAATTTTATGAACATTTTGATCTAAAAAAATTTAAATTCCGATAAACATTTCGCATTTAGCCCGGGGGGAAAGCTGGGGGGTATTTGGCCCAGAAATAGCATTTGGCATTTAGCCTAAAATTTTAGCATGGATTGGAGAGTGTTTGGGGGGGGGTAATTTGGCTTTTAGCCCAGGGTTGGAGATGGTCTTAGTTCCCGAAACAAAGCATTATATGCAATGATTTTTTGCTATTAAGAAATTGGACGCTATATATAAAACCTAGACCCGACAAGTTCCTTTATAATACTCTTGAAAGCCTAGAAGAAGTCAAGTTATGTCGATGATATTTATTTTGTAATATATATATTAGTTTTCATATAATTTTCTTGCACATATAATAAACGTGCAACGGAGTTCTTGGATGACCAAATTAATCATTTTTATTCGTATTCATTCCTACTTTTCAGTACTGATCACAACGGACTATAAATTACTAACATAATTCAAACCTCACCTCAAACATCTTACCATACCCCGCAAGCCAAAAACAAAAGCTCTCTCGGCTCTACTCCTAAATGGCCAAGGTTCATCCTCTCTTAACAAGCAATAGTAGTGATCGTGATGATGCTTCATGTTCTAATAATAGGTATATGACATCAAAGAGAGAAACATTCACTATATGGATGAAATCTCTTGTGATGCAAGGAAACGGATGCACCACTTTTGATGAAAATGGTGAAGTCGTTTATCGCATAGATAACTACGACAACAAGCACAGCAACGAAGTTTATCTCATGGATCTTCGTGGCAAGCTTCTCTTCACTGTTTGTGAGAAGAAAGTTTTCAGTTTCCGAAGATGGGAGGGCTACAGAAGCAACAATATTGGTGCCAATAAGCCATTGTTTCGAGTGAAAAAAAGTTTTAGATCAATTCTTGGAAATAAGGAGTCTTCATACAAAGTAACGATGAGATCTGATAGCAATTGCTACAGGTTAGAGCGTTTGAATGGCAAATCAACAGCTTTCAGAATTATGGATAACAATGGAAGAGTTGTAGCAGAGGCTAAGAGAAAGCAGTCAAGTTCAGGAGTAGTTTTTGGAGATGATGTCCTTACATTGGTAGTGGAGCCTCATGTGGATCATTCCTTTATCATGGCTCTTGTCACTGTTTATGGCTTGATAAGAAATCAACTATGACTCGTACATGAGTGGAATCAATTCATGAGTTTCTTTTGACCAGTTTTGTAGTGATCGATAGATGTGGTTCAAAGTTTTGTTTTTGGTGGTTCAACCCATTAACCTATGTGTTATACTTGTAAATACATGAACATGATGTAATTTAAGGAGATGCTTAATCAATACTCATTTTTCAAATTTCCTCTCTTCTTGTTGGCTGCACATTATTTCGTTTTCCAATGTACTAACTAAATTACTTATCTTGACTTCTAATTATATGTCAAGCTATAGTGGAGTTGTTATTTGGCTTAAACTGGAGATTGCTATGAATTTACTTTTTAACACACATTTTGACACATTTTCGTTGAGCTCACTTCATACTGTATTTCAATGATCCAACCGTCTATGTTATAGGTCTTCACCCAAATATTATTTGTACCAAAAATCACCCAAATTTTAAATCATATGACTGTTGAATTCAATGGTAATCATTATAAGAGTTACTTTGTAGAATTGTATTTATCCATTTTTTCACCACAAATAAATGTGTTAATAATTTATTTTGTCTAAATGGGTTAAAAAGTGTTTCAAAATGTCTTTTTTTTTTACATATAAAATTTGATAATTTGAAAAATGGGTTATGTCCTTCAATCTTATACACATCATGGCATGCACGTGTATGACTTGTCCCTAAAAAGATTTATGCCATGAGAAGGTGGTGAATCATTTCAACTTATTATAACCTCCCACGTTTTCTAGCACATTAGGAATAAAATAATATGTGATTTTCAACTTAAAATTAGTAATCAAATACCTCAAAATCAAGAATGGGATCAAACAGTTGATATGATTCCTATTCATTCGGCTGCCTTCAATTCAAAAGGTATAAGATTATATTTAACTCCAAATGTGGCAGTGCAAGTTATAATATTTTTAATTCATATGGAGTCAAATTTAACTTTTCAATTTTAATTCTTATGCATTAGAGAGAGATTAAACAAATTTTAGAGTTATACATAACTTTTGTGTCTTCTAAAGGTGAAGGTTTCACCCTGAACTTCAGAGATATCCAAAACTGAATATGACTTTACATATAGCACAAAAGTCATATATATAATTCCAACTTTTTAAGTGGATTAATTAGAGAGAGATTGAATCAAATTTAGAGTGAACTATGACTTTTTTTTGAACAAATTATATTATCTGCATTAAGGGGAGGGGGTGAGGTTTAGCCTTACAATGAGTTAGCAATAATGAGGTTCAAATTCGCCTTTGGCAAGAATCGAACATAAGACTTATCATTTACAAGTGAAGAGGAATACCACTAAACCATAGTACCAAGTAGCTTGAAATATGCCTATTAGACTCCAAATTTTGGGGGCATTAGGGATAGCCTTATTTCCTTATTCCTAAATTTCGTATTTCTTTTTCTTATTCATTATAAATAAATAAATAGATTCAGGAGGCATCTATATAAGTGTTTTACTTCAAAGTTCAAACCCATACAACTGTTCGACAAAAATAAAAACCCCTCACAACAACTTATCGAAGTGATGATGAACATGATGTGCGAAATGGAATAAATGATTTAGTGATGATATGCAAGTTGTAAAGTTGATTCTTCAACTTCTGTGCAATCTGTTACATTGGTACAATATGTTATTAAAAAAAATTCAAGTATTTAATTTGAGTATTAACCTAAACACACCAATTCCACTTCAATAATATTAAAAGGTATCAAAACAACATAGAAGAAGAAAGTCCCAATAATCTAGTAATTAAGAGATGAATCCTATATGACTTCGTTAAAGCTGTTTTCAAAGCATATGCATGGTTGGTATAACCACACCATGTGCCAAGTATGTACTGAGGAGCCCTAACTATTATATCGTAACCGCGTGATACCAGCCCTAATTAATTTATAAGCAAATTATGTAAGCCACAGTTAACTTGGAAGACAAAATATTATATGAATTTTCAAGTGGATTTAGAAATTGATACAATACATTAATGCGTCAAGTTCTTGTTAGCTAGCCAATTAGTGTGTCATCAGCACGTTCCAATAATTGAAGTCTCCTCATTTTTTTTTGTCAAGTCTCCTTTGTTTCTTTAGCATTTCCTTATTGCGTCTATATACCTCATAAAATACTCGTGAGAGCTTAGAGAAAAGTCAGAAAATGTTGAAGATAAGATCAGTATATATACTTGATCGAACAACTTTATATATTTTATATAATAATATACTGTGTATACAATTTCTTATATTTTTTTTTTGCACAAATGCATATATTAAAAACGTGGAGGAGTTTTAACATGAATAAATAAACAAGTTATTTTGTATCTCTATCTTCAAGTAACGTGATAGGATAAATTCAAAAATTTCAAACTTCTTCTAGTACCGAGACTCATAAGAAATTATTAAAAAGATTTAATTGATTGAATAGTTTCCTACCCTATCTTATTATTTGCATTAGGTTTGACAATAAGTATTGGAGACATGCAAATTTTGGTGAAAATAAATGTTTACCAACGCATTATATTCAACCCCAACAAAGCCAAAGACCACCCACCACGTGAAGCTCCTCATGGTCCCATTTCTTTCAAGATAAAGCCTCGACGACTTTTGAAGAAATTTTCAGCCCAATTTAAACCAAGCCTCTACGGGCCTTGAAGAAACTTGCAACCAAATTTAAGATCAAGCTTTAACAGCCCTTGAATTGACATCTACGTTGAACAACTTCAAAAATACATCTTCTACACGTGGCAAGCACATGTATACGCCGTACCTTGAAGTGGGGCCATTTGTAGACATGCAAATTTTGGTAAAAATAAATGTTCACCAATGCATGTGAGGGTTTACGTGGCATGTACCATGTGTATCACAAATTATACACATGACATGTGACTCATAAAAACCAGACGAGTCATCAAAAGGACACGTGTCAACATCTGGCAGAAAGTGATTATTTAATTTTATTTAAATTAAACAAAATAATCAATTTAAATGAATGAATTTATTTGTTTTATATATATTTATATCAAATATTAATTGAGGGAGTAAATTCACAATTCACAAATCGAGACACAAATCAAGTCTTGGTTCTTTTGTAGGCAAAGTTTGGAGAGTCTATAAATAGGAGGTTCCAAGTAAATCTTTCTCACAGCCCAGACGCTAAAGCTCTAAAGCCTCTTTAAACTCCCAAGTTCCCGAACTTTCAAACACTCATAAGACTCAGAAAATCCTTTGTGTTCTTCATTGTTCTTGAGAAGAATCATCAAGCACCACTACACGTGCCGATTCTTCCATCGCCGCAAGCCAAAATCTTGAGGCGTTCGTTCATTTGAGATCAAGTCATCGCGACCCTCGGATCAACAACACCCATCTATGTGGAGCAAAAAATAATCAAGAAAATTATGGAGGTGACATGTGGATTTCCATGCGCACGCAACAGACAATAAAGGCTTAATCAAGGAAGAGTCAAAGGTGATCAAAATGGTATTTATTCAAATCCCTCCCATCACTTCTCATCAAATCCTTATTCAAAACGTAACTCCCAATTTTCCTATTTAATTTAGGTTTAATTACCATAATATCTTGCAATTATACTCACAATTTAGGCCAAATAGGGCCGGTCACTCCTCTATAAATAGCCCTATTCTTCCATTAAAAAGCGAGGTCATTGGCTACCCACAAACTCCTAAACACATTCTTTTCAGAATTCTAACGTTGGCTACCCACACCCGAGAGCACCACACCGATGACCAAAAGGTTCTAATTTCAATCCACGAAGGCATATGTGGAAATCATTCTAGAGGACGATCCTTAGCACAGAAAGCTCTTAATGCAGGCTACTACTGGCTTATTATGCATCAAGACACTAAGGAGTTAGTACAAAAGTGTGACCGCTGCTAACGCTACAAGCCGGTACCAGCACTGCCTGCCAGTGAACTACACCCTTAAACGAGTCATTGGCCAGTCATGTAGTGGGCAATCGACTTGGTAGGGCCAATGTCGCCCGCTACTAGGAATAAAGGTGTGATGATCGTGGCAACTGACTACTTCACTAAATGAAAGGAAGTAGAGCCCATGACAACCACAACTCAGACAGACATAGAGAGCTTCATATGGAGGAACATTATTTGCCGATTTGGCATCCTTCAATCCATCGTCACAGACAACTGCCCGTTATTCGTAAGCAAAGATTTGGCGAAGTTTTTCCAGAAATATGGCATCAAACATCATATGTCCACGCCAAAGTATCCCCAAGGCAATCGACAGGCCGAAGCATCAAACAAGATGATTCTCGACTACCTCAAGAAATCCCTCTCCAATAAGAAGGAAAAATGGCCAGACAAACTTCCTGGATGTCTATGGGTGTATCGCATAACCAAACGATTAGCAACCAATGAGACTCTTTTCTTTTTGGTATTTGGTTCAGAAACAATCATTCCTCCCAATGTCATCGTGCTAAGTATTAGCACTTTACTGCCGAGCATCGAGCAGAACATAAATGTGATGGCCATAAACTTAGATCTCGCAGAAGAGAAACATGAGAAGGTCATCACCCACATTGCAGCCTTCCGCTACATCAAAGCCCGAAGGCTCAAGCAGGTCGACGGGCACTACCTCGCAAGCCAAGGACTATCCAATTGTTATGTAATTCTTGTCTTACAACTAAGTTTTCGATCATTTCACTCGTTTTTCAATGAGGAATTTAGAAGTAATTTACAACTTGGCTCGGTTGCATGCTTAAAACAACTGATCACTCCTACGCTTCAAAAGAAGACTGCACCATTCTTAGGGACTTATCGCAGGAATTGCACCCTTTAGGGACCAACCATGCTCTCCAGTGCGAGAGGGTAAACCAATTTCCCGAAACCCATAGGAGTTTGCTCTCCAATGCGGGAGGATAAACTATACACTCTGAATATCCAGACGTGGATGAGTTAGGCTACCCTAGTGTAACTAGGTGCACGATGGCTTGCACCGGGATTCCTAGAAGTAGCCACAATAGTTTTTT